TCAATGTGTAACACTCAGATGATTCACAAACAGAAAATTCCAGAAAGTAAATGAGTCATTGCAAAACTTCTTCAAAAGTACAATATTGTATGTCTTAAGTTCATGTGCTAAAACATGAATTGTTTTAAATAAAGTATATTCCAAGTAACTAGTAACTGGACAGCTGTTTTGTGTTTTTTTGTTTGTTTGTTTGTTTTCGTTTTTGAGTCAGGGTCTCACTATGCAGTTTGGGCTAGCCTTGAACTCACTTTGTAGCCCAGGCTGGTCTTGGACTCTCAGTGATCCTCCTGCCTTAGCCTCTCGAATGGTAGGAATACAAACGTGTGCAACTCCCTTTTTTTATTTAAAAAATGTATATCTTTTTTTTTCAAATTTATTTATTTATGTGTGTGTGTGTGTGTGTGTGTGTGTGTGTGTGGGCAGCTCAGCCTGCTTGGGGGCGGGGCTGGCTGGCATGTGGTGCTGGGGATTGAACTGTGGTCCCTGTGCTTTGCTGAGCTTGTTCTAAGTAGGTGCTTTAGACCACTGAGCTGTCTCACCAGTCCTAAAAAAAAAAAAAAAAAAAAAAAAAAATCTTACCAAATATTTTTCACAGGTACTCAGACCCATTTTAAAGAACTTCAGTCTTAAGTAGCCAGGTGCTGGGAAGATAACTCAGTAGAATAAGCTCCTGTGTCCCCAGTACCACAAAAATAATAATAGCCAGAATTTCCTGGCTGATAGCGCTATTCAGCTGTTTTATGAACAAGCAAGCATTTGAGATCGCTAAAGGACAGAGTTGGTGAGACTTAGAAGGCAAGAGTCTGGCTGTACAGGCAGTCAAAGTGAAAGGTGTTTTCCTGAAGCGTCAGGATGCGTTGTACACCCCGTAGTTGGCTGGGGTCCGTCCACTTCATGCGCGGGGGCTCTGCAGCACCGTCGCCCTCCCGGGGTAGCCCCTGGGCCCTGACTAGCATTTGCACTGCTCCCTCCACGGCGCTCCCGCAGCCAGGCCTTCCAGACAGACAACTCCCGATTGGCGACTGGCACCCCGTCACCGTCTGTGGCCTCAGTCCCAGTGCAGTGCCTGCTGCAGACTACATGAATTGGTTCCGTGGTCAGCACAGGACCAAGCACCCACTTCTGTGCCACGCAAGCTTCTTAGCTGATTTTCATAGCCTCCCAAAAGTGAACTTCCTGGAATTACATAGATATGAGAATGGCTAGGACTTTGAAGGCTTGTGCTTCCTGTAAGAAAACAAGACTAGAGTGTTCCAGTTCAAAATCAGTTAATCCGACAAAAAGTCAAACTGGAATCTAAACTATAAAGATATTCTTTAATAACCTTTCACGTTAATGGAAGTGCGTATTCCCAGTCTCCGAGCGCCTTACACTGCACAGTTTCCCCCATTTACTCCAGTACCTGGTGCCTGGCATACTCACCGAGTTTTCAAGTTCCAGTAAATTATTAAGCCAGGTTTCTATTGCAAACTGTTCTCTGTACAGTTCATTCCTAACGTCTGTAGACTTTTTCTCATGTCTGAGCACAAATTTCACATAATGTTTGTCTTTCTGAAAAACCAATATTTGTAGAATTTCTACATGTAAAAAGCAAAATTCCTTGAGTGTGGTCGAACTGTTAGCGGTAGGGGGTGCAGAATCATGGTAATGTATCGCTTAGAGTTACACAGTCATGGAGAGTGTTTCCATTAGAAATGGATCCTGCTTTCCGGCCTGCAGACTTACAAAACCCACATTATGCAGCCCTAGTACAAATAAAAGAAATGGCTGCATTAGCAAATCCCGAATAGGCACTTACCTTTTCTATTTTTGCATGAAGAAAGGAAACATTAGATCTAGGTAAAGTAAACGCATTTAAGCAACTCTGGACTTGCTGCTCTGACCTCTGGCCAGGTGGGCTGCCAGGGTCTGTCCACAGAACATTCCCTGAAGGCATCCCTGTGGATCTCAAGTCCTAGCATGTGCTCATCAAACTCTTGTCTTTCTTCCCTTCCTTTCTTCCTTTTATTTATTTTTTAAAGACAGTCTCACTCCACTGTCCAAGCTCACTTTGTAACCCGGGATGGCCTTGAACTTGGAGCAATCCTCCTGCCTTAGCCTCCTGAGTGCTGGCATTACAGACAGAAAGTCTCCATTCTTCTTTTTTTCTCTTATTTATTTGGTACAGGATCTTACTATGCAACTCAGACTCACAGCGATCCTCCTGTCTCAGCCTCCCCAGCACTGGGATTACAGGTGTGTGCCATCTCGGTGTGCCCAGGGTTCTGGGGCTGGCATGGCATGTGGTACTGGGAATCAAATCCGGGTCCTTGCACTTGCCAGGCAGGTGCTTAGAGCACTGAGCTATCTCCCCAGCCCCCAGAGTCTCCGTTCTTGACTTGATCTGTTTTTCTCTCAGCCTCTCCTAGTTATAACTGCCAGGCACTGGGAGGGGCCAAGCAAGCCTCTGGGGGACCAGTGGGCACAGGCCTGTGTACCCCTCTGCACATCCTTTCGCTCCGGGCATGTGGTGTGCGTGCCTTGGGGTCCTTCCACACACTGGGTGGCAGAGGCTGCTGTGTATCTGTTCACTCTGGCTCAGAGATAAGACAGGAGTTGAGGCCCGAGAGCTCTTAAAGCCCCGAGTGCCAGTCATGATCTGAAACTGCCAAAACTGAAACCTTTCCTCTCTAAGTTGATTGTCTCAGATACTTGGTGTTGTCAGGAGCCCTCGGGAAAGTGATGAAAGAGCCCGGGGCTGAGCCCAAGCACATCGCAAGGGTTCTGTGCTCATGGAAGTAACAGAAGTGAAAAGCCTTTTCTTTCTCTTTTTTTTTTTTTTTTTTTTTTTTTCACAACTTGGGAAAAGCAGTCCTATGTTTACCAAAAAACAAGAGGATAAGTGAGTGCTCTTACCTAGCAAGCGGACTCCTCACTATGTGGGTATGTGTTAAAAACCTCAGGCCACTGGCTAAACTCTATTGTTTAAATTATTGGCTGCTGAGCCATGTGAGCTGGTGAGCTGCTGCGCCCAGCTCTCCACTGCCCACCTCCCCTGCCTTGGGCAGGGCCAGGGGACATGGACACCGCTTAGCCTGGGTGCCAGGGACCAAAGCCAAGGTCTGACGCTAGCTAAGCAGATTTGCTTTACCGCCAAGCTCGCCCCTACCTGGGCCGCTTTTAATGAAGAACCAATTTATCAAACACAAATGACGGGTGACGAGATTTGAATGAATAGTTCAGGCTGTTTTCAAACAAGTCTTTTCTGGCATGAGTACTGGATATATTTTTCCAATAAGCAGTGAGAAGCTCCCACCCCTCACACTGCGCCATGCCGTGCTGACCTCGGATCCTGGTTGGTGCTGTGGGCTGCGGCAGCCCTGCCCCAGCACCAAGTGGCTCCGCGGGCTGGCTGTGCAGAGGGTCTAAGGTGAGTCTCAACAGAACCCCTGCCCCCAGGTCGGTAACGCTTTGATTTAACACAGGCTTTAAAGGCTGCTGCTGTTTAATCCGAGAACACAGACTTGAAGAAAGATGTGAGAACAGCCAACAAGCGCTTGGAAGATCTGACTGTAGACTGGCTTAACCCAGGGCAAGATTAGGTTTATATAATCCTTACAGGAATGAGGACAGTTGATGTGAAAATCATATTCAGAAATGTTAATGTAGGTCATTCCTTTTGGTTTAATTAAAATTCCTCCATCAATAGCATAACTTGAGAGTGGAGAACGTAAGCTGAAAATTGCAGACACCTTTACCTTTTGATCAAGGGCCAGGCCGAGTCCAGCAAGCGGCCTGTTTTCTTAAGTAGCATTTTACTGGAGCGCAGCCACACCCCAGCCCCTGTTGGTGGGCTTGTTTCACACCATGACAGTGATGTAACTGTGAAAAAGACCGTGGCTTTCAAAGCCTAAAATATTTACCACCTGACCTTTACTAGGGAAAGTTTGCAATCATATGTTTGAGAACTACAAATACATGTATCCTATCTCTCTCCTCAAAGTATGTGGCTCGGGTACCTCACACACTCCAGCACAGGGCTTCCTGTCCTGGCCTCACCTGCCTTAGCAAGTACCTTAAATGAAATAGGCCCACAGGGTCGGGGTTCCAGGCATGGGGCCACACCGCCTATGGTAAAGCCCAACTGGGGGCAGCCAGAGTGGTGAGCCGCAGCTCTAAAGAGGGAAGAAGACTTTCGCCCGACTTGGCAGCAACTTCTGCAGACTGAGCGATGAGCTCACAGAAAGTCCTCGCGGCTGCAGCCCGCAGCCCTCACCGCAGCCTGGAGTCCCCTGGAAGGCGGAGGAATCCCTCTTTCCCTCAGGCCTCCAGCTACTCTGTGACCAGAGGAGGGGCCTGGAGCAGTGTGGGGTGCGGGACAGCTGCGCAGAGTGGCAGAGGCAGGGACACGATGGGCCCCCTGCAGGAGCAAAGGGGTGGAGGGAGGAAGCCAGTGGAAGCCAGGTGCCCCAAAGTGGAGAGCGGAGTCAGTAGGAAAAGGGAGAAAATTAGAACCAACTCTGGCGCTGGATGGGACCTGGATGTCTCACGTAAACCCCCATCTGTAGTTAGGTGTGTGTATGTACACATGCGTGTGTGCCTGTGCCCGGAATCCTCCCCAAGCTGTGCACTGTGAGCAGCGTGCCCCACAGCAACACGCATGTGCATCACTCAGACTTTGGCTTCTGCCTACCACTGTCCACTAACAGGAACCCAGACTCTAGGGACTGGTGATGGGCTCACAAAGTCCTAGGAGAGTGGTGGGGAAACATCAAAAGGATGAAGCCGGCCTGAAGGGGCACCCCCTGGCCAAATCAGGAACAACCTCGGCATCGAAATTAAGGACTGCAAACCAGGTGTGGTGGTGCACAGCTACAATGCCTGCATGCAGAAGGCTGAGGCAGTAAGGTTGCAAATTCAAGCCTGGCTTGGACAATTTAAAAAGGGTTGGGGATGTAGCTCAATGTGAAGGCCCTAGGTTTGTTCTCCCAGTAACACATACTAAAGACAGTTTTCCGGGGTGGGGGTGGGGGGACACTTACAATCCTGACACTTGAAAGACAAAGACTAAGGAGAATCATTAGTTCAAGGCCAGCCTAGACTACTTATTGAAACTTTGTCTCAAAAAAAAAAAAAAAAATAGCAAAGGATTTGGATACATTGAATAAAATAGGAAGCAAAAATCTATATTGGTAGCAATAAAAAAATGAATAAATGGAAATCTGGATGAGGAGTGTGCAATTATACTTTCCAGGTGCCTCTCCACAGAATGCTTATTAATAGTGCTTTTGCCACAAAGTAGCGAGAACTGTGACTTGACTGTGGAGAGCCTGGCAGACAGCCTTCAACCAAGAGGCAAGGCAAGAGGACGTGGGGAAGCGTGAGGCCCGGCAGGATGCCCCAGAAGGACCAGTGCCATCGCTGTGATATTCCCACCTGTCGCACCACATCCTCTGGCCACGTGAGAGGTTCAAGACTGGTCTTGAGACCCAGCCAGGGCCACTGAGATGCCATCATGAGGCTCGGCCGAGCCGGCACAGGCTCTGTGAATCTGTCCCGCAATGGAAGACTTGGCGGCTCAGGCCTCACCCTGCCCTCTGACTTTGTAGATCTCAAACACTTCTGATCCCTGTGTGACTTTGCTGCCCAGTAGCTATGTGAGCTTGGCAAACTGAATTTGCCTGTGCCTCAGTCTCCTTACCTGTAAAATGGGACACTGCTTACCTCCAAGGGTTATACTGAGGATAAGTGGATGTTCAAAATAGAGGCTCAATAAAGTTTTAATTGTTCGTGTTGGTTTTTGGAACCCATACAAAAAGAAGAGATGGGATCACACTGGGATGTTTTAGGCTACTAGAGCTGCTAAGCAGAGTGCAGGGAGGGGACGGTAGAAATGAGGCTAAACATTTTGCCCTTGTTACCATTTTCTCTAGGTTCTATCACTTCCTGCCGAGCCAAGGTGCTCAGTTCATAGCTGATTTGCTCCCATCCTACACTGAGCTGCCTGTATAAAGACCCAAAGGAAATAGATTAGCAACACTGTAGGCTGCACCCAGTGGGTTTTCTGGCTCTGGCAGTCACGAGCTCTGGCCGGTGAGCAGAGAGCAGAAATCCTTTTCAACTGTCTTTATTCTACTGCCATCCTGTGGCTGACCTGTGCCACTGCAGCGCCAGGGGCCGGATGAAGCCGAGCATCGGCGCCTTCGCTGTCCCAGGGAGGAGCTCCAGAGAGGAGCAAGTGCGGTGGGACGAGTGGGGACGCAAATCACCAGTCTTGGCTGGACTTCTGCTTGATGAACCTTAGGGACACATAGTACAGGAACAGGAAGCCGCCGCTGATGCCGATGAGGATGAGGTAGATGGCATAGAGAGGGTGCGAGTTCAGGTCCATGTCACTGACCATCTGTAGACACGGACATTCAGTGAGCTCGTACGGGCGTCCACTTATCTGCCCGTCAGTTCACCTCCCGAGGCCCTCACTATTTACCTTATCTCCTGGGACTGAGAACGTGAAGTTTCCCACCTGCACAGTATAGATGCGCCCATTGTACTGGACCTGCATCAGCCCTGCGAAACACCACCGCAGGAAGGACACCTTGGCGACCCACGAGGGCACTGCGGACAGCGAGAGCCGCGTCAGCCCCGCGGCCTGGAGCTCAGAAGGCGAGGAGCTGCGGGGCGACCCCATGTAGGATCCCTAGCAATCTAGAGGGTCACAGGACTACACGTGCCCTCCCCGGAGGATGGAGCCTGGGCTCTGCCTTGTGCAGGAGCTTCGTGCTTCGGCGGGAGCAGCAAGCCCTGAGCCCGCCTGGCTGTCAGCAGAGGGCTGGGAGAAGAGGGAATGGGGAGGTGAAGAACGGCTTTTCCTAGAGGGGGTAGAGGAGCAGCCGCACAGGTGAGGGCGGGCAGGGGGTGCTGGGGGTGCAGGAGGTGTCACGGGGCTGGAGGCTTGTTCTGAGCACACGTCTGCGGAGGATCAGGTCAGAGAGGCCAGGCTCTGCCGTGGAGCCAGGAGCACGCCTAGGGCTATGCGGGAGGGAAGGAGCTGGCTCCCGGGTGATACGGAGAGGGAGGGAGTAGAGTGGTCTCTGGTGCTGCCTGCTCCTCTAAGGGCATTGCTGAGGCCGCCGCGGGGCAGCTGGCCAAGGCCTCTCTTGCTGGCCTTGGGTGGGACCGGATGGAAGCGACATTGCCCAGCGCTTGACCTCACCTGTCCAGAGGTTCTTCAGGTTGATCATGAAGCCCCCCGTGAGGTAGAAGGCGTTGTAGAAGGCGTTGCAGAAGAAAGATGACATGTGGAAGGTGGGCAGCAGGGCGGCGGCAGCCAGGGCCATGGCCCTGCAGCAGAAGACCACCAGCCACACCAGCAGGAAGTGCAGCACAAAGGGCAGGAGTTCCGGGTGCAGGTTGGCCAGCCAGTAGGTGGGCATCCCGTAGATGATGACGTAGGCGCAGTGCTCGGGCAGCTCGCCAAGGATCTGAAGCGGACACAGAGCCAGCACCATGACGCCAGCCTCCCCTCCTGGCACTGAGGCTGCAGAGGGGGTGCGCTGACTCCCCCCACAGGGCAGCACAGAGTGGTTTCCCCACTAACTGGCAGCCACTGGCTGCTCTCTTGAGACCTGGTTTCAAGTCTTTGCCCCCCTCCCCCCCAGCCCTAGTACCCGTGTTCTTGGGAGAGCCCGAGAGCCTCTCTGAGCTCCTGACAACAATCGCCTGACCAACCTGCTCCAGAGCTCCAGAGGTCAAATGTGCTAAGGATTCCCCACTGTTTCCCATTTAGGCTCCTGCGGACCAGAAAAGTGTCATTTCTGATCCACATTCCTAGCCTTCTGGGCTAGGTTTGTTAACAAGGTGCAGGTTTTGAGACCCCCAAGAGAAGGTGGTCTCTGTGATCGCAGGGAGACCCAACTCATCACTGCGGCACCTGTACAGTGTGTACAGCTCTCTCCACCCTGTACTTGCCACCACCCTGAGCAGTCACCTTGGCAAAGTAATAGGGACCAGTGGTGTAGAGCCCGTCTTCCAGCTCTGCGTACAGCATTGCCCGCTCCGAGTGACCTGGGGCCAGGGTGGGTGGAAGGGTGAAGAGTCATCCACCTGTTTCTGATTTTGCATCTCCCTCAACATCCTTAAAAGCAGCTGTACTGCATGAATTTCTTATTGTATTTTTTAAAAAACAGACATCATAAAGTGAGCCTGGCCCAGAAGTCCAGGGAGGCTCCATAGGTGCTGCAGACCCACGCCCTGCACTCCACCACTCGGCACAGACCCGGACAGGATGGGAGCAGCTAAGCCTTTCATTTGTATGTTCTATTCAGCTGCAAACTTTAAAAGCAATGGCTTTTATTACATAATCCCGATGAAATTGCTCTGCCCAGCTGTTCCCTCGGCTGCCCAGCGGCTCGTCTTGGGCAGGCATGCAGCGTGGCCGGCACCCCGTGTCTGTGGCCCTGGAGTAGGTGACACTTACATTTGGAGACAACATCCAGGATCACGTTGAATGGGATTAGTGCACCGATCATGAACAAGAGGGCCGCGGTGTCCATGAAGGAGAGCTTGTTGTCTCCGTGACCATAGTAGAGGAACCCGATGATCAGGGACATCAAGCAGGCCTCCGCCCCGTGAATGAGGAGGGTTGGCAGGTCTCGGAAATCGCTGGAAACCTGGCGGCTTACACAAAGAGTAAAAAGAAAAAGATGTCAAGGGAACAACGTTGTGACCTTGAGAATGTCGTGTAATCTCTGGAGGGATCATTCCTGTTGTGAGAAAAACATGGAGATAGCAAGGCCCACTCAAAGAGCCTCTGTGAGGATTAATTGAGGGGAAGGATGAAAGTATCTATTCCTCAGTCGGCACGAATCAGGATTATGTCTTTTATCATCAATGAACAGCCTGGTGATTTTATTTACAGAAATTATGCTGTGGGAAAAATCAATCAGTCCATAAAGATGTACGGAGATGTTTGCCGTAGTGTTCTGACTTGGGCTGGTAAAAAAGTCTGAAGCGAACCTAAGCAGGTCCAGGGACCAGAGAGGTGGAGGCGCCATTCTGAGGGAGAAAAGGCTGCTACAGAACGTCACGCAGAGTCGACTCTACCTGTGTATTCAAATGTTTGTGCTCATGGAAATGGGCAGAAGACACAGAGCACTTGCGCCTGGCTTTCCGCAAGAGCTCCTGTGACATGGACCTTTCTCTTTCTGGCTTAGATTCTCGTGTACAGTCATTTTTTCCACAGTGACCTCATGGTAGTTCCAGTAAGGTTATTTTAATTTTTTTTTCAGAGAATAAAAATAATAATGCACACATGAGGCATGAAAATGGTTCTGAACATGCAGTTCTCCAGTAGTTCTACCTCTTACTTTCTCCCCCAAATTCACTTTATTTTATTTTATGTATTTAGTGCAGGATCTACAGGGTCTCACTACACAGACAGGACTCATAGTGATCCTCCTATTTTCAGCCTCCCAAGAGCTGAGATTACAGGCATGTGCCACCACGCCCAGCCTCACTGCTGTCAAACCCCAGCCCCTGTGTCTGCCTAAGCAGGCGCTTTAATCCGCTGAGCTATCGGGCCGGTCCCCAAATTCACTTTAGATAGAAAGTGCTTGACAGGGAATTTGGGGGAGGGGTGTGGGGACACAATGAAAGACAGTTACCGGGTCAGGGTGGCGAACTGCTGCAGCACCCCGGGGGGCTCTGATGGAGTCTGGCAGCTGTTGTCACAGGGGGGGGTCGGGCTGCGGAGACAGCATGTGGCGGGTCAGGGCAGCCCTGGGCAGCAGGGAGCTTCACACCCTGAGCCAGCTGCCCCCGTACCTAGCCACGCAGGTGCCCACATCGAGCTCCCTCGCCTCGGCCTTCCACATAAAGTCATCACAGTCGCGCACTTTCTCTCGAAACATGGCTGCGAGGGACCGGGCCTTCTCTCTGGTGGCTACTTCCTGCTCCTGGCTGTGTCTGTCGATGCTAGTCAAGTCCACTGGAAGCAAGAGATGTGAGGCCATGGGTGACCCAGTTTCTAGCCCTGCAGCCCTGGGGCTCCATGCCATGCCCCCGCCCCCCATCTCTGAGCAGGACCCATGAAACAACAGCCAGAATAGAGAGGGACAGAGACCTCTGGGACTGGCCCTTGCCCTGCCAGACCCCAGCTCCAGGACTGAACCCTGTTCAGCCCAGCACCCTTCATGGAGGAAGCCCAGGAGGAAGAGATTTCCAGGCCAGAGCTTCACACAGCTGTACCCTGGCTCCCATGCCGTCTGTCCAGGAAGGAAGCTTTCTGCTGAGGACTCAGCCTTGCCAGCTGCTCAGAAGAAATGGGGCTGGGGGAATGGGGTGCCAGGAGGAAGGGTGAGGCAGTGGGTCTCCTTCTTGCCTCACCCTTGTGGGTTAAAAATCTAGCTTCCCAAGTACCCAGCCCAAGGCAGGACAGGGTTGCTTGAAGGAAGCCACGGACCAGCCAAGTACACAGAGTTCTCACTGCCCTTGGTCAGCAGCTAGACCACAGGATGGGAGCCAGACCCAGTGGAGAGCCACCTCCTGCACACCAGGAAACGACCCCCCGCACCAGGGAGCCGCTTACTGCAGTCTTCTGCCCACAGTGCCTGGTCATCAACCCCCAAGGCTGCAGCAGCACCAGGAAGGCAGACCCCGGTGCTCATGGCAGCGCCTTCCCCCACCCCACTGGGGCCAGTTCACATGCACCTGGTGCCTCCCTCCATCCTTTCCTCCTGACCTCAGCACGGCTGGGATCTCTCTGTCACCTATGTCCCTTTCCCCTTCTCCATTTTCATTACACATCTCAAGCCAGGAAGGGTCTCAGAAACCACAATATGTTCTTTTGGGACACAAAACATCAGACTTGCTAGGCACCTTAGGCCCACTGGCTCTTGTGCCCCAGACTGGCAAGGGACACCTGCCCCAGGACTTGTAGACAAGGACCTACACCCCCCATTCCACCGCCAAAAAATACAAAATAGGAACAAAAACGTTTGTAAGTTTGCTGTGGGCATTTGACTTCTCCAGGTGTGCTTCAAATTGCCCCCAGCGGCCATGTGAGCAGGTGCCTTCTGATCCCTTATCTGAGGATGATGGGCAAGAGGCCAGGCAGGTGGTGCCTGCACACAGGAAAAAGGTGGGCTGAGTTCACTGAGGTGGCACGAGTTCACAGGACAAGGGGTGCAGGCCCGGAGAGTGGGTGCCAGCAGACAGCGGTTAGGGTGAGGGTTAGGGTTGAGTTAGGGCTGTTAGGAGTAAAGCCCCAGCAGAGGCCCGCTCTTGCCTCACTGCTGTGTCACCACAGGCAAGGGGGTGAGTTCTTCCAGGGTGTGAGGGCCAAGCAGGAGACCTCCGGGGCCTCAGCACTTTCGGGCCCCACTGAATGCTTTCGAGAGAATGGGCCTGTCGTCAAGTCTCCTGCTGATCTCCTCACTGGGCTTTACCATCCTGGGATAACATGGGCTCCAGCTGACCTGCGGGGGCAGCCGCTGCTGGTGACTCCCAGCCTGGGTATCACTGTGCCGGCTGTCCTACAGCTGTGTCATGCAGCACACTCTTTGGGAGGAAGGGAGGGGCAGAAGGAGGGAGGGAAAAAGGAAAGAAAGGAGGGAGGACGGGAGGGAGGAAGCGGCTTGTTCATGCCACCCAGGTGTAAAATCCTGAGTGTTCAGGACCAAGAGAAAGCAAGTGTGGGCCAGTGGGCAGTTTCCTTGTCCCGAGAGCCCCTGACCAAGACCTGGGTCCTGCCTGCAGCTGCATGCTGGCCTCCCGGCTGCCGCCTGCAGATTCCCAGACCCCACGCTCCGCTAAGCCCAGTGGTGCAGAGCTGGGTGGGGGGTACCCTGAGCCCTTGCCCAGCCTGGCCTTGTGGTCTCACCATAGAAATCCGCGGGGTTGCTGTAGCGGGGACAGGGGTAGCCGAGGGCTGTGAAGTATGAGATCATGTGCTGCGCGGGCCCCAGGTACACGGTGGTGCCCGAGCTCATAAGGAGGACCAGGTCGAAGAGCCTGAAGATGTCAGAGCGCGGCTGGTGTAGCGAGATGAGCACCAGCCTGTTACCCTTGGCCAGCCGGGACAGGGTCCGCACCAGGTTGTGGGCCGTGAAGCTGTCGAGGCCTGAGGTGGGCTCATCCAGGATGAGGATCCCTGGCCAGAGGAGGAGAAGGGGTGACCCGAGTGCTCCGGCTGCCGCCTCTCCCGCTGTCCACGGTGCAGGCACTCACCCGGGTTCCACAGCAGCTGCACCCCGATGCTGACGCGCCGGCGCTCGCCCCCCGACACCCCGCGCACGTAAGTGTTGCCCACGCGGGTGTCCGCGCACTGCCGCAGCCGCAGCTCCGCGATCACATCTTCCACCTGCGGCCGGAGTGGGGAGTGGGCGTCAGGGCCCGGGCTGCCTGCCCTGCCCGATCCTGCTCCCCGGGGTTTCATGTGCCGAGCACAGACCCAGAGTTGGGTGTGAGACAGTTGGGCTCCCTGCTCATTTGGCCACAGATAAAAAAAGAGAGGCTCACAAATAAAACAGGTGCCACTGGCTGAGGCTGAGCTGGCTTTGTGTGCATGTATGTGGGTGTGTGTGAGGTGCCAGGGATTGAATCCCGGGGCTTCACACTGAACTACTTCCTCTGTCTTTTCTTATTTGGAGAAAGAGTTTTACTACCTTACTAAGTTTCCAGGTTGGGCTCAGACTTGTAGATCATATCCCTGCCCCCCAGCCTCCCAGGTGCTGAAAGGAAAGGTGTAGCTCCTGGCATGGTAGGCCTGGGAGATGGCTGAGCGCAGAGCTGACCCTCCTCGGCAGGGGGTGATGAGCTGGGGCACTTGGCCTCCCTCTGGCTTGTCCTGAGGCACAAGGGGAGGGATGTGGTGGCTTCCTAGGCCCCGTGGCTCACCACCCGGCTCAGTTACCCTTTTGTTACGTTCCGCCTGGGAGAAGCTTCTGGGCAGCCTCATCTGCGCGACGAAGGCCAGGGTCTCCCGGACAGTGAGGTGGGGGAGCAGCTGGTCGTGCTGGCGCACGTGGGCCACGCACTTCCTCACCAGCCGGGAGGTGCTGGGCTGCCCGTTGATCCAGATTTGGCCTGAGCACATCCTGCCACCGTGGTCTCGGCCAGTGATGACATCCAGCAGCGAGGCCCGGCCACAGCCTGCGAAGCGACCAGAGTCACCGCTGAGGCAGAGCTGCGAGGGCCAGGCAGAGGCTGCTGCTGTCACCCTGGCCTGCTGTAACCTCGCTGAAGTGACCAAGCCCCGGGAGGGTGGCTCTGCTCCTTGGCCTGGGTGTGGCAGCGCCCAGACAAGGGCGTCAGGCTTCTTGTGCATCCTTGGGGTGTTGTTGTCTTTTTCTTTTCCAGTATAGGGAATCAAACTTGGGACCTTGCGCTTGCCAGGCAGGCCCTTATGCCACTTATATCCCCGGCCCTCCCTGGGGCATTGGGATACACTGGTCCTGGGGTTCAGGCCAGGTCAGCCACTATCTGAGTAACAGGAAAACCTGACTGCCGCAGGCCGGCTGGAACCTGGAGGCTCTGTCCCCTCCTCCCGTGCTCCTTCTCCTAAGCGTGGCTGTGGTTAATTGCACATGAGGCATAAGGTTTTCTTCCTGGCCAACATGCCAGCAGTGTTATCATCATTCACTGTCAGTTGGCTTAGAGTGCCTCAGAGGGAAGGACTTGCTGGGAACATTTGTAGGGTGTCTTTTAAAGAAATGCAGACCCGGGAACCTATTTTGAGAAGTAAAGGAGAAAAGTAACAGGGATGAAAGCTGTCGTAGTGGATGTGGAAATGGTATCAGAGTGCAGTGTATGCACAGGTGCTGAAGTCGACTCTGCTCTCCTCTCATTGTTATCAGTAGCACTTTTATACTCTCTTTTAAAAAGAGCCTGCACTCAAGGTAACTCCATCTACCTCTGAATGTGCACCAGTTACCACTGATTCAGGGAATTTGGATCTGCTCTGCAAAAGAACACAGTCAGGCCCATCCTCTACCAGCTATTTGAACGGTGAATGCAAATCGGGCTCAAACTTGGAAACTTTTCTGCGGTGGAGCTGGAAATGAGCCCTGCCAGTTGCCTGGGCAGGGTTTAGGTTTCCTTATTGATTTTTATTATTATTATTATTATTATTATTATTAATATTATCAATATTATTTAGTATTGGAAGTCCAACTCAGGACCTTCCAAGTGCCAGGCAGACGCCGTACAGCTAGCTACGTCTGTGGGCCTTGAAGTTACTTATATATTCCTTTTGGAGAGAAGATTTTCCAAGTTGTTTTCAAACAAGTGCCAGTGCAAGTGTGGCCACTCTGCCCAACATAATCCTCCTGCTTACTGCCCAGAGTTGCGGAGCGGAAGGGGCCTGCCCACTGCCTTCTGGGTGCATCTCAGTGAGGATCCTTGAGACTTTAGGTGAAACAAATAGTCAGGAGAGGAGACAGAGAGGGGGACCCAGGCCTGCTCCTGGCTTCGAGGTCCAGCAGTGAGGGGATTTCACCAGTGTGCACAGGGACCTTGCGATTCCAGGTCAGAGAGCAGGAAGAGCACGCTTTCTAAGCAAAACTATGAGAGGCGTGGGCAGCCTTTTCAACGGAGGGTGCCCGGTGCTTTCGGAGAGCTCCTCTGTGGGCCAGGTTAAAACACACATGGCCACACACGACCTTGGTAGAGTGGATGGCATCTGACCACCAAGTTCCTCAACTGGAAAGCATGCCTAGCATTGTAGACTCTGTCAAGGACACTTAAATGCCTGGGGCTGATTTTCTTTTTAAAATTATGGCCTTGTGTGTGTGTGTGTGTGTGTGTGTGTGTGTGTGTGTGTGTGTAATAAAAGTCATAGGAAGTGTAGTATCTTTTTAGTACTAGGAATCAAACTCAGACCCTTGTGTTTGCCAGGCAGGCACTGTGCCACTGAGCTATATGCGTGGCCCAGAAGTACAATACTTAAACTTCCATAAGGACTTTAATAATTTTGGCTAAGTAAGCTTGAAACAAAGTAACACTGAATCTGGAGTCAAAAGACCCGGATATTATGCGGTATAATCCTTATTCAGCCTCTTGGACTGCAGTTTCCTTATATCAAAGGTATTCATAACCGGCCACACTTGCCAACTGTGCACCAGGATGGCTCTCAGTAAGAGCCCATGTGTCGCCTGATGCTTCACTCAGGGAGGAAAGCCACCAGAAGTTACAAATCAAAATAATCCTAGTTTGGGTCAGAATCCCAGCCCCAGGGCCAGCGTGGGAGGGGCTGAGTGAGTGTGCATCTTGTTTCAGTTACAAAGTGCGTTTCCAGATAGTAATTCATTTGCTCTTTGGTTAGACAATAAACAAGAGCTTGTCTATCGGAAGAGTATAAAAGTTTGGAGTCGCTGTTAAATACATTGAGTAATATTTACCTCTGGAAATGATTAATTCAAAGGTATAAAGTGCTATAATACCTATGTAAGGTGTCCTAGGAGGAAGCACTTGGTCCTGAGAATCAGGAGACCAAGTTGAAATTCTAGCTCTGCACTGAATGTGTGTCATTAGGAAAATAACTCAACTTGGTGTCCTGAAGAGCAGTGTGTGTGTGTGTGTGTGTGTGTGCGCGCGCACGCTCCAAGGCACACTCTAGAAGTGTTGAGGATTAGATAATTACTACAGTCGTCCTCTAAAAATGCTTCCCAGCTCTAACAGTCTGGAATTTTAAATTTTGCCTGGGGAAGCGACTGTCTGAGGCAGTCCAAACTTCTGGCTCTCAGGGGCTAGGAAATTAGCTCAGTAGAGTAAGTGCAAGCGCCTGGCAAATGCAAGGGCCTGAATTCAATCCCCAGTTTCAAACTTCTGGCTCCCTGCGGGTGGTTGAAGACTGCACTCTGGCTTTGGAGGGGGAGAGCACGGCGGGGCTCTGCCTAGTCACTGTTTGACCATGACCCAAATCTGATTGTAGGGGAAATGACCTGCGAGAGTACCCTTGTGGTTGGAGGAGTCCCAGCAGAGAGCATTGTATTCTGAAGCTGCCTGTTGGTGATGTGGGTCCAGGCGTTAAAGACAGACACTGGCTGCAGCTTCCAGTGGACAGGTGGCAGCTCAGGGTTTGGACTAGCACCCACCACCTAGAACCTGTGAAAGGAGGGGCTGGACTTTGAGCCCAGGCCTGTCCCCCCTAGGTCACTCTGCTACATCAGCCAGTCAGCAAGGAGCATCCCTTTCTCTGAAGAATCCCCTGTATCCATTAGCCCTGCCCCCAGCGGTACCTGAGCTCCCGATGATGGCCAGCATCTGCCCACTCCGCACGCGGAAGCTCAGGTTCTGGATACCATTCTCTCCTGAGTCTTGGTTCTTGTGGGACAGCCATGGGATCTTGAACTGAGCCAGCTGCTCAAACCAGGGCACCTGCGAGGCCGTGTCCACCTGTGGGAGAGAAACAGCAGAGGGCTCCTCAGGGAGCGGGGTCAGCAGCTCTGCCTGTCCTCCACCAGGCCAAGGCCCTCTCCACCCAGGTTCTACCAGACTCAGGCAGCAGCTGGGTAGAGTGACTGTAATTGCGTCTGTAATCCCAGCACTCTGGAAGGCTGAGGCAGGACGACTGCAAATTCAAGTCTAGCTTGTGCAACCTTGTGACTGAGTGAGACCCTATCTCAAGATTTAAAAATTTATAGAAAGGGTTAGGGATATAGCTCAGTGCAAAGGGCCTGGGTTCAGTCTCTAATAAAGCAAGATAAAGACAGGAACAAAAAGAAACATGGAGCTGGAACTCTATCACCCTAAAAACCTGCTGCTGCTGCTGCTGTTCCTATTTGGAGACAAAGGGACTAGAAGTTAGGTGCAATAGCAGAATGGGGGGAGGGGAGAAGCAAAGATCTCTCTCTCTCTCTCTCTCTCTCTCTCTCTCTCTCTCTCTCTCTCTCTCTCTTTTTTTTCCTGTATTTTAGGGAAGGGTCTACTGGGTGTTCAGGGTCTCACTACTAGATCAGACTTGTAGTGATTCTCCTGTTTACAGTATAGGTACAATTAGAGCCTGTGTGTTACAGATGAGGCTCAGAGCAGTTAAGTAACTTGCTCAAGGTCACACAGCGAAGTGACAGAGAGAGAAAGGTTATCCTGCAGCTCCTTAGCTTGTCCTAACTCACACCCACAGGAAGCCAGGCTTGGGCCTCTGAAGTTCACCACTGCAGGTGTCATGTAATCCCACTGTAGAGCATAATGTTGCCCCAAAGATAGGGAAATAGTGGTCCTTCGATGTGACCAGGGTATCCCCAAGAACCTCTCAACGGCTGCTGGTTGTCCTTGAGTACATGCAAGGATGTTTTTATTTTATTTTGTATTTTATCTTATTTTTAAAAAAATTTGTGCAGAGTCTCACCACGCAGCTCGGACTCATAGTGATCCCCAGCACTGTGCATCTTATTTTGACGAGCTTTATGCAGCAAAACTAGTGTGGATGCTGCAGGGGGTTTCAGAGAGGTCCCCACCATCATCAACCCCACACGTGAACACTGCAACATGTTGCTGCTGCTGCTGCTGCTGGCTGGGGGAGTAGTACATTTCTATCAAAGGGGGGGGGAAGTCTATCGATAGAGACACATAAATGGGTGAAATCTGAATTCATGGAGGCTGTGGCTGGCTTTGTGGCGGCAGTGCACGTTGTTCATTTCTCACACACGATGTTTCCACGCAGAGGAGGTGGGCTCAGGGCATATGGGAGCGCTGTGCCACTTCCGTCACTTTTTCAGAAGTCTAAAGGGATTTCCAAATCTAAAGTTGAGAGTGTTCCAGAGACTTCCCCATGGGCTGCTTCGTGTTTCTGCGGGGATCCTGGTCCCCTTCTTGGCCTTTCCCCTCCTGCTCCACGTCCTGGTGATGCAGAGAGAAGCCACCCAGCCGGGGATGGGCCTGGGGGCCTGGGGGTGACTGCCTTCCACGTCGTCGGGAGCCAAGGGCTGCAGGCCGGGCTTGGCCTTCCCGCCGCTTTTGCCCCACTGCAGCCCGCTCCCAGCTCACGCATGCGCGCCCCTACCTGGTAGGTGAGGTCTCGGACCTCCAAGGTATTGGACGGGCCACTGTAGGTGAAGTACAAGCTGTTGTCATTTTCGGAGGCGAACACGCTGTCCTGGAGGCCCTGCTCAAAGATATGACAGATGAGGAGCTCCCGAAGACAAAGACAGAGCAGCCCTGGCCAGGGGGTGGGCCCCAAAGAGCGCAGGGGTGAATGATGCACAGACTGCGAGCTGCAGGGAGCAGCGTGGGGGGCCTGAGCCAGGAGCAGGGAAGCCCGTAGCCTGTGCCTTTCTCCTCCGCATCTCGCTTCTTCCCTCCTGATGCCACAGACAGTGCACAGGGGAGACGACAGTGATTAGCAAGTTACTGACGCTTAATATCAGTGACGACCTCATCTGAGAAAAATGTATCTCTTCACTTTTTATTTTCTTTTTTAGTTTTTGCTATACTGTGGGATAAACCCAGGGCCTTTGCACTGAGCTATATCCCCAGCCTTTTTCTTTGCTTTTTTTAAATTTTGAGACAGGGTCTCACTAAATTACTGTTTTACACAAACTGGACTCCAACCTGTGATCTTCCTGCCTCCGCCTCCCAGAGTACTGAGCTTGTAGGTGTGCACTATCTTTTTTATTTTATCTTATTTTTTTAAAATTTTGTGCAGGGTCTCACTACACAACTCGGACTTGTAGTGATCCTTCTGTTTTCAAGCCTCCCAGCGCTGTGTATCTTATTTTGATGAGTTTTGTGCAGCAAAACTAGTATGAATGCTGCAAGGGGTTTCAGAGAGGTCCCTACCATCATCAACCCCACATGTGAACACTACAACATGCTGCTGCTGGCTGGGGGTACATGTGTGTTTCCTTGAATATTTAACTGGCACATGGTTATATCTATTCATGTGTACAGTGTGATAGCTGGAGAATGTGTAAAATGTGTAATGAGAAAATAAGGCCAGTTAGCATTTATGTTCCTAAATATTCATTATTTCTCTACATAGACTGCTTGACTAGACAAAGAACTCTGTTCTGGTTCTTTATAAACTACACCAGAGGTCCAGGGAGCTAGCTCAGTGGCCTAAGGGCCTGCCTGGCAAGCGCAAGGACCTGGGTTCGATCCCTAGTACTGCATGCCGTGCGGGCCCAGGGGTCCTAGAATTGTGGGTGCGCTGTGTTGGCAGGTCAGTAATCCCAGCACTGGGGAGGTGGACACAGGAGGATCACTATGAGTCTGAGCTGCATGGAGAGACCCTCTACCAAATAAATAAATAAATAAATAAATAAATAAATAAAATTTAAAAATATACAACAAATTGCTGTGAACCATGGTCTCTGTAATGTATTGTAGAACACTAGAATTACTCCTCTTATCTTGTTTCAGTGCCCATTATCTGACCTTTGTCCATTCCTGCTCTGTAGTCCAAGATGGGCTTGCATTCACGATCCTCCTACCTCAGCCTCCTGAGTGCTAGGATTACAAGTGTGCACCACCACACTCAGCTACAGAACTTGCGGTTCTTTTTTTTTTTTTTTTTCTTCTGTATTTGATACAGGGTCTCACTATGAAGCTCAGACTCATAGGGATCTTCCTGTTTTCAGCCTCCCCAGCCCTGGGATTACCAGTGTGTGCCACCACGCCTGGACTAGGTGGCCAGCTCAGCACACACGCCCAGGGGCAGGGCTGGATGCCAGGGATCGAACCTGGTCCCTGCGCTTGCCTAAGCAGGCACTTAGTCCATTGAGCTAGTTCATTGGCCCAGGACTTGTGGTTCTTAAGAAACTCCATTTTTCTTCTGTTTCTGAAGTGCAGGACCAGGGACAGATTCCTTACTAAGCTTCCTGGCCCCCAGGTCCCCGCCTGTGCCACATTCCAACGTGCAGTTTTGCTCATTCCTTCTTTCAAGCCGACCACAGTCACTTAATTCGAGTGCTCACCACGCTCAGGCTTGAAGTTTGAGGTGTGGCAGAGGAAAAGGCCACTGCTGCAAGGCTTAAGTTTGAGTGGGCGAGGCAGGATTTAGGACAGAGAAAGAGAGGCCAGGGCTAGAGGCCTCCAGCAGCCAGTCAGGGGGAGCCTCACTGTGTATACAACACACACACACACACACACACACACACACACACACACACCGAGCCTCAGGTGACAAAGCAAACAATGGTCTCTGTCGCAGAACCCCTGCGCTGGTGATACCTTAGATGGGACTTTCTTGGTTATCTGCCCTGAGTTCGGAGAGAGTGTAGCTAAACTGCAGATGGTTTAAGGTTCGAATTACTGTCAACATTATCCAATAAAAACAAGGGTAAGATGTGTACCTAAGTCAGGCGAGGGGCTATCTGTGGGGAGGGGAGATACGGGAGCGATCCAGGGAGTGGGCTTCAAAGCTTTGGCAATGGGAGGGCGGTTCTCTATGTCAATGGGTTTGTTTGAAATATTTCACAATATGTTTTCAAACTGACAGAACAATCATGTGACTGGAAGTCCAGCATCCGCTTCCACCTTGACCTTTTGGGGGGGGTCAATGCTCAAAGCAGGAGGGAGATGGGCCCCAAGGAGGTGACAGGGCCTGTGCCCTTTTCCAGGGGGCCAGAGCCTCCAGGGAGGCCAAGGGCAGCCCTGGTCAGAGCTCCCTTTTTCACTTGCACCTCCACTACACCCCTTGGCTCCCCAGGTCTTTGTGCTAAGCTCCCAGGAATCTGTCAGTGGCCAGGGACTTGTTTGGGATAAGGCAAGTTCCGTGGTTTTGTGTTGTTTTAAAGTGAATGTCTGCAGGAGGGGTGCTGGTTAATGGCCATCAGGCTGGAGTGAGCTCAGCCCAAAGCTGCCAGATTGGGTTCCAGGCGAAGGAGCCACTAAAGAAACAAGAACAGACACTTGGAGTATGGAGTAGAGAGTGGACGTGACCTCAAGTCCAGGTTACCTCAGGTCCTCTGGGCTGTGACGAGAAGGTGGAGGGTGCTTGGGGTCCTCTGAGGAGAGAGGTGGCAAGGAGGGAGTCAGGCAGGTAACATCTGAGAGGGGCACAGAGCCTGGGCCAGGCCCCTTGCTTGGACCCCAGCCACCACAGCAGGAGCCCTATGAGCAGCCCACATTTAGAAGAGGAAAATCGGTGTCTCCTGCTCCATCTTAAAATATTTTCCTTGGCTCCCAGGAAGGATGCGTTAGACTCTTCCTGAGGTTTTGACAAATGCTCTATATTTTTTAAATACTTAAATATCTATTCGGCTGACATCTTAATCAGTATGACTGTCAGAACATCACTTGAATTTCTGACAGGTGACACCCAAAAAAGCAAAAGCAGGTTTATTTGTAGGTAACCAGCTCAGCTCCTGCTGGGCTACACTGTCATTTCTCCAGGTATTAACTTCTGATCAGATTCCTGAGTCAGAAGCACAGACAGACACATGGGGAACCCGGAGCTCAGGCCTTTGTTCTGGGATGGGAACCCCGGCTCTGGACAGGGGGTGATATGCTAAGGACCTGTGGCTGACAGGGACACACGAGGCTTGTTCCTGGCCCCTGGGACATTCTCTTGTCCTCCTCTAGACCTGCTTCTGCCCATGGTGTAAGGAGTTTGTGGGCCACAGGCACCAACCATTCCAGGTACCTGACACCACAGCCGTTCCCCACTCCATGCAATCTGCCCCCACCCACTCCCAGGGGACCTGCCTTGTCTGCTTCCGGGAGTGGCACTGACAGTACCTCCCACCTGGCAGCCTTAGGCCAGAAGCACATTTGTTTGTGGAGGGCACGTATGACATGGGGGTGGGTGGCCAAGGTGACCACAAGGACTATATAAATTCCTTCTAGCATGGGCTGGAGCTCGGGGTGGGGAGGAGGAGGGGACCAGCTCAGGGCTAGCTCGCTCCTGCTACCTTATTCTAGCCGCCATTCTGAGGAGATTTTTAAAGTTTATGCTTGAGCCTCCAGGTTGTCAGGAAGGCCTGTCGCATGTCACGGTCAGAGGGTAGGAGCCGTGCTATTGAACAGTCTTCCGCTGGACATGTAGCCGTACTCCTTTTGCTCCAAACACTGCCACTGCTAGAGGCACCCCTCGCAGTTGGCTCAAGGGAATCTAGAGGGCAGAGCTTGGGCTCCTTAGCCCTGCCTGGGTCTCTCCGAGACAGCTCAAGGCTGTTCCAGGTGCTTGTGTCTCCTGCTGGACTGTGGAGTTCTTATTCTTGCCTTTCACAAAAGGCAAAGGTGACAGACAGAAAAGTGGGGTGGGGTGAAGCGGAGGTGGGTCCCACTTTCCTTCTGTCTTCCAATGTGGCCTCCTGCCTCAGGCTCCACCCACCCTGCCCATCAGAGGCAATTTATCAAGTAAACACTTCCCTGGTAAAATGAGGGAGAGAACTTTGGACAGCCACCTCTGCAGGCTCCTTCCAGTTCTCTCCAGATCCTACCATTGCCTGCATATTTTAGGCATAAAATCTGATGTTCCCGAAAAGTCATCCACTCACACCTGTCACTTTACTGCCACTGAGAGTCTTGGCCTGATGGCCACATGGACAAGGGAGACACCAGAAGAGTCCTTGGCATGTGTGAATGTACTCTGTGATGGAATCCTTTGGAGAAAGCTAAATCATCCCAAGTCACAAACATGGACATGACTTCCCTATAGGAATGGTTTTGGGGTCTGAGCGTGACCTAAGAGGCCTCTCAGACCCAAATCTGATCCTCTCTACCCTCTGCCACCCAGGAAATAGAGTCCTGCTGCCATGCTCTGCTGTGGTCCAGGTGGTCGATTAGGACAGAAACCTGAAGGGAGGAAAGAAAGATCCCATTCCTGCCCACCCGCTGGGTCAGGGCAGCCCCTGCCCTGTCACTCACCAAGGCGTCCTGGATAGCAGGCCTCCGCCAGAGCTCCTTCTCCCCAGCCTCCCCAGCCATGGAGACCAGTATCCCTGTGCCCTTTGCTGCAACTCCTGCGGCCTTTGGCGCTGCTGTCTCTCTCGGTTTCTTAGAGCTGGGTCCCCAGTTCCCTTCTTGCCGGTGCCAGGCTCTCTCCCAGCATTCCTCTCTGGCAAGCCCTCCTACAAACACGCTGTGTGTGCTCTCCTCACTGTTAAGATAAGGATGCTCCGGCTAAAGGTACATCTGATAATGGCATCTACGGCCAACTCGGGGCTGGGTGAGCTGCAGTTGCGGCACTCTGCCACTGGCAACCCAACGGAAGCCACTCAGAGAGGGCTAGGCCACCAGGAAATTCACCAGCCCGTGCTGCCTGTTGGCCATGAGCGAGCTCCCCTGTCTGATCAGACACAGGACCTTCGACTGCCAAGTAAAGGGCAGTCACCAGAGCTCCTTGGAGGAGGGTCCTACGGGAACCTCCAGGCCGCGCCACAGCCTGAGTGTCCTGCATGTCTCCTACAGCGTCAGGTAAGGTGGGCCCATGGGGCTGTCACCTCTCCTCACTGCTACTTCCTGAGTAGATCAGGGTTCGGAAAGAGGAGAAGGGCTGCCACTGCCTCCTCTCCCCCTTCCTGTCGGGACCCACACCCCTTCCCCACCATCTGCAGCTTCCCCCTGCGACTAGAAGGCCCAGAGGGCGGGGGTAGGAAGCATGAAGCGGACTAAGACCGGAGAGGCAATGCAGGTGAACCTAGGGACAGACAGTGTCCTGTTTGCCATTGCACAGCCAGACAGAGACCTGATATTTCTAGCAGCTGCTGGTGCTTTCCGTGGGTGGCTCCAGCAGGTAGTTGCCACCAGCCAGAGTCTCCAGAACAGGCCACAGGGCTGAAATACAGTTAGGATCCTGTCCAGAGATGGCTGGGCAGGGCAAACCTGGGGTCAGTGCTGGGGGCGGGGTCCAGCCCCTTCTGGGATCCCACGCTGCCTTTTCTCATGTGATTTCCTTTACAGCAGTTATGTTGGACCCTGGTGGGATGTTGCCTCTCGCCGGCAGCGGTGGGACAGGCAGATTCTCAAAGACATTTCCTTGTACGTGGAGAGTGGGCAGATCATGTGCATCCTAGGGAGCTCAGGTAAGCCAGGAGGAGCGCTCCAGCTCTCAGGGAACGGCTGCCAAGACTGTGGCTTGACTTAAGCACCACGTTGAGAAGGAGGCTTAGCTTTACGGTCACAGATTTGTATGAGAATGAGATCTGATGACATTTGACCGTGCTGCACAGGACTCAGGACATGAGACCTTGCAAAAGATCCTGGAGAGATAGGAAGTCCTATCTCATGAGGAAGTGAATTCTCTCCATCTCTCTTGCTCCCCTTCCCCCCTACCCCTTGTTTTCTTGGTGATACCGGGCATCAAACCCAGTGCCTCGTGCATGCTAGGTGTATAGCATGCCCAACAAATGTGATTTCCCCCATGGGTACTCACCCAGAGACAGAAGAAAAGAACTAAATAGGAACTGAAATGCTCCTTTAATTCTATATTTGCTTCCACCGTGCTCTGGACTTACAGCCAGGAATAGAGACTAACATCGAAAGTGTTCATGTGGGCCTGGGAAGATGGCTCAGTGAAATAAGCACTTCCCTGGAAAGCGCAAGGGCCTGAGTTCAATCCCCAGTTCTGCAAAAAAAAAAAGAAAAAAAAAAAGGAAGAAAGTGTTCATGTGCTAATATCAGGTCTTATCAAATCTTAACATTCTTCCATCCTTCTTCAGATCTTTTCCCTTTTTAAGAAGTTAAACACTCCAGGCCATCTACAAGCCTATACCCCACATCTTTCTTCTCTTCCTCCTCTCAAGGGTGCCTGCTTTGGAGGCTGAGCAGCACATTGGTCTCTGTGTGCAGGCATCACCCGGCCCTTGTCACAGGAAGGAACGACCTTTGGACAGGCAGCTCCTTGTGGCTGAGGGCAATTTTCTGGTCACTTCACAGATAAGAATCCTCAGAGCCCACGCTGCCAGCAGTTGAGGGATGGGTACGTTAGCTCTGCAGGGGGCTCTGTGCGTGGCAACACCAGGACGTAGGCTAGGTTGTCTCGCCTTTCCAAAGGTTGAGGACTCCGAAAAGTTGGCTTCATGGAAGCCTCTCGATTGCACAGCTTTTACAAGTTGTCGGCATTTATTGCCACTCTTCACTTGCATTCCTCTCTTTAGCAGAGACAGGGAATGCAAGCATAGGGTGACAGTCAGGGAAGGTATGGGCTAGGAGTGTGTACAAGTGTGTCCCCTAAGGTTCACGAGATGGAAGATTGGTCTCCAGCATGGAAATTTTAAAAGACACTAGAACCTGCGAAGGGAACGACGCAGCTCTCTCAGGACTCCATTTCCTTCTTACCAGGGAGATTATTGTAAAATAGCAAGCGTGTCTCTGAACTGACCCCGGCCCGCTGCCTCCGCATTTAGCCTTTCCTGCTTACGTCTTCCTGCCCTGTGCATGTCGAGATGGAACCAGAAGCTGGCACCACAGCTGAGCTGCTGGGGCTGCCTCGTTGTGAACTTCAAGCCTCCAAAACTGTGAGCTAAAGGAACTGTTTCTAGACAAATTCCCCAGTGTAGGCATTTTTGGTATGGGAATAGAAGATGGACTGGGATAGTCCCACCTCTTTATTCCCAGTGATTAATTTGTGACCATGATAAGCACAATGGATGGCAGCAGTAGGCTCTGAAGACCAAGTGAACAGGAGCTCAGTGAGTGTTGGAACCTACTTGGGCTACTGTAATGGAACAGTGGACAGTACAGTGGCTTATAAGCAACAGACATGCATTTCTCACAGTCCTAGTGGCTAGGAAGTCCAAAATCAAAAGGCTGATATTTGGTGTGTGGTATGGGCTGTTCCTCATCTGCAGCTACCTTCTTACCATAACCTCATGGTAGAAGGGATGAGGGTCTCTCTCAAGCTTCTTCTTCTTCTTCTTCTTCTTCTTCTTCTTCTTCTTCTTCTTCTTCTTCTTCTTCTTCTTCTTCTTCTTCTTCCTCCTCCTCCTCCTCCTCCTCC